AAGTTACATATGTCCCTTGTAACAGAGCCAGAAACCAGGAGAATGCTGGTTTGTGAGTCAATGACTCAAATTTTCAGTCTCAAAGGGGCCCCAAACCATGGGGAACACTGGGCAAGTAGTATCCATCTTGGGCCTCAGTTTCTCCAGCTATATAAGAGATTAGTTCTGGACTAGTTAATCTTTAAGTCTAGTTAAGTCTCTGATTTGGAGACTTAAAATGTGAGGCTTTTTGTAAAGCAGCAATCCAGGTTGCTCTTTCAGAGATCCCAGAGAGGACATGAGAGGCAGGCCTGTCTTCTGTCAGCAGATGCAGGTGTGGGGAGGTGGGCAGGGGCTGGGGATGTACAAAGCAGAGTTGTGACTGTCACACAGGAGATTCCTTAGCTGGTAAACTTTGAAATCCCAGGCCAGGCAGCTGTCAGGAAACGAGGCATATGGCAGGACGGCTGGTGGGGTGCCTGCTGGCTACTCTGGAGGGCTGGATGGGAGATTACTTGGAGGAGGAGGGGAGAAAGAGGAGGAGGTGAGAAATGACAACAGCCTTTCATGCTGAAAAACTTACAGGCTTGCCTTCTGGAATTTGAAGGACAAAGGAGCTGCAGCCTCTTTCCTGTCTGGGGCTCAGGAAGGGAGCCTTGAAAGAGATGAATTTAGACTCATCAGAAGCTACTCACCTCCCATGGTGGGAAGTCAACTGCCTTAGCATGTGGCTCCAAGAGGTGACATGGTCTGGGGATAGAAATAATTGCAAAGAAAGTAAAGCCAAGGATGAGAGAGCTCAAGTGAAATGGCCTTCTCTCATATAACGGGAGACTGGGGAGTTCCCTAAATCTTGAGGCTGTTGTCGAAAGAGAAAGGTGTGTTCTGTCCATTATGCTCCCTTCCATAAGCAAATCAGGGCAGACGGACCCTAGCTATTCAGAGACAACCTAATATTGAAGGGCTGGGAACAATAAACAGACTGTTTGAGGCAGAAGGACTTTTGATGGGGTTAAAATTCTGTCTCAGCCTGGAGACTCCCGGCTCAGCCTTCAAGGAGCCAAGCTCTCTCTTATGAGCCTGTCTGTTAGTAGTGGGAAGGCAGCACACTGGGCAATCAGGAGATCTGAGTTTATATGCTAGCTCTCCAATGACCTACCTAGGGACCTGAGCTAAGTCCCTTCCCCACACGCAAATGAGATCTTGGGATTCCATGAAGCCCCTTCAAGTATCAGCATCTTACTTCCCGACTTGTATCCTCCTTTTGGACCAAGCTAATCTTCACACTTGAGAATGAGAACTAGCACATTTGATCATTTATCACATGCCAGCCACTCTGATAGCTGCTATGAGAAATCAAACTACATAAAACAAGGAACTGCCCATGTCACAGTGACTGGAATCTGATAAAACATCCTTTTAAAAGATAAGGCAGTAGGACTAGTAAGGACTAGTAGGACTAGTAAGACAAGTAGGGCTTGTCATGGGTGGGGCCAGGATTTGGAAATAGTCTATCTGGAGTTTTATTTTTCTGCCCCTTCCTCTCCCCCTGCTTATCAATATGTCTGGGCTTCTGCATGCTCCTTCCTGGACAGAAAAATGCCTTTATAGCTCTTATCCTTCCCAAGAGGCACTGTTCCTCGCCATCACTTCAAACTCCAGTATACAAGCCCTGTCCTTTATGAAGCCCTTTATCATTCCTTTACTGCCTTTCAAAATCTTCACATGGGAACTCTTTGAAAACCACTGGCATTCCCTGGAACACTATTTTACAAATTAAATCTTCATTTTATCTCCTCCAATTGTATCTGTCATCTTGCAAACTTGGAAATTCCTTTCTCGAAGACAAAGGGTAATTTCTTTATTGTTTCCTTTGGATTCCATGCAGCATTATTCTATCCATCACAATGCTCAACAGAGGGTTTCATAGACTATTAACACTATTGAAAATCAGGATTGTACAGTCTCAGAATTGAACGGTTCATTCAAATTGTCCTTAAATTTCTCCCAGAGTTTTTCTAACAAAGTAGCATTTGGCCTCAGCTGGAGCATCTGGATAGTAGAAAGAACTTTACTGGGAATAGGAGGACTTGACTCTGCCATTAAATCGCTGCGTGGTTGCCAGTCACTTATATCACCTTTGAATCTACCCTTAACCTCACCCTTCACCTGCAACTGCTCCCCAGCCCTTGTCTGTAATACCTCTCAACTATCTCCCTGAATCTCCTTTCTCAATATTGTCCCCACTAACATTCTCTTGTGGCTCCCACAGTAGACACTGACCCCACTCCACTATTTCCCACTGCACCCTCACTGCAATCTACTTCCCACACAATTACTGAGAGATCATGTGTCGAAAAATGCAATGGAATCATGACGTACTCCCCACTTTTAACCATTTAGGAGCTCTCCCCTTTGCTATTAGAATAGAGACTTGGCCTGCAAGACCTCCATGGTCTGCCACTGCTTATTGCTCTGGCTTTGCCTCCCACCATCCCTCCCCTACTTCCTCAGCTTCAGCCACACCAGGTTTCATTTCCTGAAGCTGACCAAGTTCTTTCCTTCTTAGCACATGTCTCTGCTTCAAACATTTTCCATTGCTAACTCCCACTCATCTTCCAGGTATCAGTTAAGTAACACTTCATCTGGAGGGTGGACTGTGAGCCTTGTTATTGCTTTCTAATCCAACAGATGCACCCCCACCTCCATATGATGTAATCCAACTAAATTGGATCCCACTGTTAATTGATTTCCTGAAACACTGTATATTTACTTCATAATACCTGCCACAAATTAAGTATATAAAATCACACACACACACACACACACACACACACTCACTATATCTACACACCACAGGGTCTAAAGCCATTTTTATCTCATTTTCCATTGTCTCCCAAGCAACCAGCATGGTACATAGGATATAGTAGGTGCTCAAAAAGCATGTGATATCTGCATAGATGAATAGTTTCAGGGAATTCACAATTTCATTCTAGTTCTACACAATGGGAAGTGATAAAGTACACTGGATTAGAAGATTAGAGCAAGACTTTGGAGTTAGCCAGATAAACATCTGAATCTTCACTCTCCCTCTCACTAGACAGTGACCTTGAGAAAGCCACTTTATTCCTCTGGTGTTGACTTTTCAACTGTAAAGTGGAGGCCACGGTGTCTCAAAGGGTTTTAATTGTGAAGCTAAAATGGCATTATTCTGGTTCTTTCATTTCCTAGAAGGGGGTCTTGGGAAAGTCACTTAACATTGCCACTTCTCCTCTGCATAAAGGGGATGATAACAGCCTCGGCTTCCCAGGGCCATTGTGAGGGTAACACAAATCAGTGGATGGGAAGTGCTCAGAATGCCCACAGTATGTGCCAAATTAATGTTACTGGCTATTACTGTTGTTAATATTATTAAAATACATAGTAAAGAGCTTGACATAGAATATTTCTTAATATTCAGCAGCCATTATTACCACTCCTACAACAATCACTATTATTACTTAGATGACAGGATGAGGATGATGATGATCATAGTGGTGATGTTTCTTGTCAGTCCTGACTTTGCCAACATGACCTTAAATGGTAGGCAGAACCCTGTTTTGTGATAACTTATTGTATTTTTATGTAAAACTGTCTAAAAGCATAGTTTTCTTTTAAAAAGACAAGCATTTCTTATACATGGAACAATTCTTCTTACTCTACTATTTATAGTTTTCAGATTTTGAAGCATGAATAAATCCTACCCAAGGCCTCCCTTGTCCAGAAGAGCCCCAGTTCCTTCAACTCTCCCAGGAAGATTTTAACAATTAGACTGCATGTCTAATCTTCATATAATTTGGCCAACCCAGTCCCTGCTCTGCTTATTCTATGAGGGCAGTCTCATCTTTTAATTTCCCATGTACCTCTGTATTTATTAGCAGGGAAAGAGGTCTCTGACATACTGAGTAGCAAAAAAGGCAATTTTTAAAGAGCTTTACTGAGAGTTGGTGTGTATGTGTGCATATGTGTGCCCACTGATATACAGATAGAGGGAGAGAGAGAGGACAGTATTTTAAAAATGTTCAAGAAAATGTTAATTCTGGGTATCTCTGGGTGATGAGAATTTTATTTTCTACTTCATTAAATATCTTTGTTTTTGAACTGCCTGAATAGACTATATAAGATACTTATTCCTAATAGACTGAAAGATTAATTACTTTAAAAAATTCCATTAACTATACTTACAGGATGATTTACGATTGAGATGGAATTTAAAATATGTGGATAGAGTTAGAAAATGTGAGGGTGGGATAAATAAGGGTTAGGTCAATGGAGAAGGAACTTCAAGGAATGACCTTTGCTGACTGCTAACACTTCATGGGCAGGCATTAGGGAGTTTGGGGAGATGCTGGTCAGTATAACAGACCTCTATCCTACAGTGCCCATGGCTTCCTCCCCTCTTCCCAGATCTTGGGGCAGTGAATCGACCAGTAAAGTACAGGTGTCTGCCCATACCTAAAAGTCATCTGGAAGACTTGGCCTTGGTTCACATGCTGGGTCCGGTTGTTGTAACCATGCAGCATCTCTCCAAAGAGGGTGTCGTTGAATTTGGAGTCCGGTTTGAGGCACTTGGGGCCCTCGCAGACATCTGAGAGCATGAGGCAGGATTTTCCATCGGGAGCCAGTTTGTACTCCTCCACACAGCTGCACAATAAAACAGAGTCAAGAGTTAGCTCCACACTCTGGATGCCCCCATTGGGGATGACCTAAAACCAAGGCCTCCTTTGCCTGCAAAACAGGTCAGAGTTTAGGAATGGAAACAGCTATTCTGGCTGGAATCTATCTAGGGCACAGGTGTCTAGAGAGAAGCACATTAATCCTGCAAATTGGTAAATTCAAGGAAAGTCATCTGTGACATTTTGGAGGAGTCGAGGGGAAAGTCAGAGAGCACATCCGTGCACAAAGCAAATTTAAAAACTGTTTTCCATGAACACACAGACTTTAAAAAGCATGACAGACCAATTCACAGGGAGCTATCAACTAGTTTCTCAAACCAGAATCTATTCCCAGTGTATCTGTCGACCAAGGTTGAAGACGGTAGCAAGAACAAGGCTTTTATTGCCCTTGTAGCACAGAGGTGATCCTTTCAGTACCACGGACAGCGCACGGAGCAGCAGTCACAGCTTCTGTTCAATTAGCAATGTTAGCAGCCTCTGCTGGCCTCTAACTACCCAGTCCTGACAGCACAAGGGTCTTTGATATGCTTGTGAGGCAAGGGTGGGCTCCTCAATGGACCAAAGAGGCATCTGAATGGAGTGTGGGAAAATATTTGCAATTTGGGATGTTTACAGAGGGAAAGAAAGCTCTTAGAGAGGTACTGGGGGCAGGAGCTGGGGGGAGAGGAGACAGCAGAGGTCCTAATCCATGAAAAATCAATCCAGAAACTGGAATTCTTTGACTGTCTATCTGTTCATGGTCCTTTGCTAGGCACCGGGGGGAGGGTGCACAAAATAAATAAGACACACAAGAAAATAGGCTGCACAGCTGAAGACACCTGTAGAATGTCCTCTTTGCTCCTTGTGATGTATGTGAAGCAAAGTAAGCCATTTTACCTCTGTAGCCTCCAGTTTCCTCATCTGTAAAAGGGGGCTGACATTCCTATCCCACCTTAACTCACAAGGCTGCTAAGAGGACCTACGATACGTTGACTGCAAAAACAGATACGAATTGTACTGTACTTAACAAAATAATTATAGAGTGGTTGTAATGGTGGTGATGGTAGTGTTTACTTACTGAGTATGTGCTATTGACTAGGCACTGTGGGTATTTCTTTTCTAACCATGAAAAAACGTAGTATCATCACTTCTGCCTTATACAGAAGCAAAATGAGGATCCAAGAAGCAAAGCATGTCACACAGTGAGTAAGTGGCAAGGCTGGAATTCAGAATCAGGTCTGTCTAGCAGCAAAGGCACCTTTTTCTACACTTGTCTTTTCCAAATCCAGTTGTTTCTATTTGCATGATACGGCCCTGGTTAGGCTGTGCTGGCTGGAGGCAGTAGAAAGCAGGCAGTCTCTTATTTGCCTTTCTTCCACAGGATGATGTGAAGATCTATTAAATCTGACTGCAAAAAGACTCATGTGGGAGAAGGAAGAGGCCCTGTAACACGATTTGGGAAGAAAATGTACCCAGGTTGCAGGAACCAATAGATGATGTCAGAGACACAGGATCTAACTGAAGGCAGGAAGTAGACAGGCAGAGAGGAAAACGTGACCCAAAATCACTCCACTGAAAAGCCAGGAATGTCTCATGCCTGAAGCAAGCTGTCACTCTGCCCTCGCTTTCCTCCAACCCCCGATGTATTGCACAGATGCACTGATTGTCTTTCTAATATCTACATGCTCCTGCCCAAAGTAAAGTGGAAGTTCTTGGAAGGAGGCCTGTCTTGTTGCCTTGGTCAAGTCTCTCCTCTTTTTTTTTTTTTTTCATCTGTTAAATATGTGAAACTCTCCCTTGTAAAGCTGCAGTATAGATGACATGAGTTTTATAAATATGCAGAGTATACAGTAAGTACTCAGTAAAGTCTAGTTCCATCCATTTATTCCAAAAGGTTCCCAGCAAATAAGAGAAGTGGTTTACTAGGTAGAGCTCTCCCTCTTCACACACACACACACACACACACACACGTGCACCCGTGAATAAATACACTGTTGTTGTAAAAGATTAGACATTATCAAAATCTATAGAGTAAATGTAGAAGTTCTTCATTTCCCACTCCACACATATTCTTACTTCCTGTTTCAGTGGTCACCATTATTAATAATTATGCATTATTGGAGGATTTTTTCAATGAATTTAGATATACACATTTTATATATTTATAATAATAAATATATCATTTTTGTTTATTATATCATGTTATATATTTTTTAATTATATATATAATTTTATAATAAACTCATAAGCAGAATTACTCTATACATTGTTGTGAGATACACATTTATATCTAATACAATTTCTTAGAGATATTTTCAAAACAGTATCCACATAGATTTACCTTTTTAATGACTGTTTGGCATTGCACATGAAAAATGTACTATAATGATTTTACCTCATCTTTATTGATGGGAATTTTGGTTGTTTATAGCTGTTTGTTATTACAAATGGTACCATAATGAAGAATTTTGTACATATATCACTATGTACATGTGTGTGTTTCTATACGCCAGTCTTAGAAGAAGGATTGCTGGGTCAATATTTCATGAATTTTAAAATTTTGATAGATCTAATAAATGGCTATCTGTAGAGGCACCACCAGTTTACAATTCTATCACTGATGAATGAGAGAACCCATTCCCCCACAAATTTCACGTCCATTATTGCCGATATGGGATGGCAAAAAATAACTCATTTTTGTTTGGATTTGCATTTCCCTGACTACTAGTGAGAGTCACCATCTTTTCATGTCATGGTCATTTGTATTTCTCATTCTGTAGATCGTCCATCCGTGTGCTTGGACCACTTCTCTGTTTTGATATGTGTCTTTTTCCTTATTGGCTTTTACATGCTTTGTATATTTTCTCAGTAGTTGTATTTCACCTTCCAAATTTATTAAAATTTTCTCCAAGTCTGTACTTGTATTTTAATCTTACTTTTGATGTCTTATAACCTTTTTATCCTGATCCTTTATTGCTTTTGAATTTTGTGTTATGCTTAGAAAGCCCAAAAGGATGAAAAAATATCTTTCTTTATATTCTCCTAGTATTAATACAGCTTTTTCATCCTTGGCTATTTAATTTGCGTGGAATTTATTTTTGTGCATGGTGGGGGTGGTTATTTTAACTTAATTATTTTTAAAATTGGTAGATGATTATCTGAAGGATCCATCCTTTCACTAAGTAGTTTGAAATGCCATTTTGTCACATACTAAATCCCTGTTTGTACCCCGTATATATGGTTAGAAATTTTATTTAATTATCTGTATATTACTGCAAGAATTCTGTACTATTTTAATTACTGTAGCTTTATGGCATGTTTTGGATGTAGCAAAGTAAGTCTTCTCCCTGTTAGGAACACTAATTTTCTATTTCAAAATCTCCTCCGTGTTCTTACTCATTTTCCCCTCAGATAAATTTTAGAGTTGGCTTGTCAAGTTCTATGCAAAACTTTACTGGAATTTTGGGTGGTTTTAAATTGAACTTGTAGACTAAATGGGGACAAGTTGTTAATTTTTTTTCCTTTAAGAAATATGCATTGAGAGTCAACTCTCTGCACTGCACTGTTGACAAATGTGGCAGAGATGATGTCCTGTGTTCACCACACTGGGCATTCTTTGAGGACACACTGTAGGCTAGGCATCTAAGCTTCCCTTGCAGTTGGGTGCCTTCAAGGGACCGTGTGAAGGGATTCTGAGCCACGGAATCGTGTTGATGTGATGTAAGTCACTGTAAGATCCAGCCCTTACAAACATCCTGCATGATTCTCAAGCCCTCTCTTCCCTTACTCTGGCAAGAGTGGGGGTCACATGTTCAAGATGTTTTCTGCAGGATAGAATAGGTTTGCTTCAATTACAGTGGATCCTGTGTGAACAGGAAAGCAACTTCTGCGTGCAATCTTCTGGTCTGGGAAGCTTCATTTGTTGCAGCGACATAGCCTATCTTCCCCTGGCTGACTGATTTAACACCTTTGCAGTTGGGAGTCTTCTAATAGTCTTCATCTCCATTAATCAATTGTTCTTTTAAAACCTTCACTGAAATTTTAGACGTTTGGTCATAAAAGTCCTGCACATTATCTTGTGGGGGTTTATTCATAGGTATTTATGCAATGTATTATGCTGTAGTGGTTACAAGCGTGTGTTTTGGATACGGACAACCAGAGTCCCAGCCCAGATTCCATCATTTATTGGCTATGTGACTGTGGGCAAAATCTCTCTGTACTTCCTTCTTATCTATGAAGAAGTTCCTACCTCACAGAGCCACTGTGAGGATTAAATGAATTATGTCTAAAAGACAGTGTGCCCAAGCATTTAGTAGAGTGATAGCCTCTATTATTACAGTTTCCCCACTTGAGGAATAGGATCAGTTTTTCAAGTATGCTTTCCCTTATATTTTCTAGTTAGTTATTGCTGATACTGAGGAAAGTTATTACTGATTTTTGTAAGCTGATTTTTCATCCTATCACGTAAGAAGCCCATCAGTTCTCACATGTCAACCACATTTTTCTAGATGAATGAGTATGTATTTGCCCAGTTTGGGTATTAGGATTATGCTAGGATTATGGAACAAATTAGCAGACCGTCCTTTTATTGTCTTTCTCTGGATCAGTTTACATAAGATAGGGGTTATCCATTCCTTGATGGTTCGATAGCACCTGCCTATAAAGTCCCTTGGGCTTGATGTCTTCTTTTCAATTGCAGGCATTTAGCTCTCTTATCATTTTATTTTATGTTATCTGACTGTTTAGATTTCCTACAGCACCATGACTCAAACTTGGTAATTTACATTTTCTATGAAAATAATGCATTTTATCAAGACTTTCAAGTTTATTGGCATAAAGTTGCACACAGTATTCTCACTAAATTTGTTTTATCTTCTGTGGTTCTATGGTTATGTCCCTAGCTCATTCCTAATGTGTTCATTTGTGCTCACTCTCTCTCCCCTTTGAACAAGCTTTTGCAATTTATTAGCAAGGCTCCTTTTTTTTTTC